CTGGGGTGGGGAGTGCTCTTCCCAGCAGGATCTGAGCATGAACAGCGGCCTTGGATGCTGAGACCCACCCCAAAGCACGGGGATCTCTGGGCTGGTGAGGAAACACTTCAAGCCAAGGCGAGGTCCTCTCTGGGGCAGCATGTCGGGGGCAGGGGTGCTGCATCCTTCCGTGGGTGACAGCAGCTGTCGCTTCCCCATCCTGGCCTCAGTTTGGCTGTAGAATAAGGCTCCTTCCAACCCTGAAATTCTATCACTCTGGGTGACTAAGTTTATTCGGTTATTTCCTAGGAAACAAGGAAGAAAGCACTAGAAGGAACATTGCAAATCACTCACAGGCAAGCAGGCAGGCCGGGGTACCAGTATCTGGAAACACCGCCACATGTCCCTCCTTTTTGGCGGGCTGCGTTAGGGCATGTATCTCCTCAGCTTCCAGCCTTTCTCACAGTGCTCACCAGCGAGGGTACCTGCAAGTCTAGATCAAATGATGCAGAACATCCCTTGGAGCAGCACATGCCTACCGCTTTGCACCATGCCAGATGCCCCCTGACATAAGGAATGGCACTCAGGAGTCCTCAGGAATGGCACCGCTGAGTAAGGGAATGACACAAATAACTATAAGAAAATGCAAAGCACAGTGGGGAGTTTGAAAGGAGGAGTGATTAGCTTGAGTTGAGTGGGACCAGGGAAGACTCAGGAGGGCCCAGCATCCTTCCACCTTCCACGACAGAGCAGGGCTGTCTAGTCCCCAGTGAGCATCCGTTACTTGCTTCACATCAGGCCTGGTCTGGCATCGTGAAGATTTGCTCAGGTGAACCCTCTGGCTCCCGGGGTGGGTGAGAACATGTGGAAATTGGAGGGCAGGTCTGCGTGGGGGGCTCCCGGTCGCCCTGAGGGCAGATAGGGAGGAGCTATTGCCAGCCCTCTGAAGAATGCCCTGCCGTGGGCTCTGGTGAGAGAAGTCTCCAGTAGTTGTTCCAGCTTTGCCACTGAAACCATGAGTTCTGAACTCAGACAGTTTCTGAGCTTTAATTTCCCATCTAGCGATAGGAATAAGAATAATATACCTGTATTGCCTTGCTCACAGGTTTGCTGTCCAGCTCAAACAGGGAGAGAGCACCTTGTACAGCCAGAATTACGTTATCAGCTGAGAAAAAACACTTGAGCCAAACTGTCTTACTGAAGTCCCAGCCCCCCTCTGCATTCCTGTGTGACTGCCCTGTTGCCTTGGCTTCTACACCCACAACTTGGGGGCGACAGCAGGGCTGTTGTCGCAGGGCTGCTGGTGATTAAGATGAGGTGGATGTAAAGCACTCAGAACAGCGCCCGGCACATGGTAGATGCCGGAGCACTAAACTGAGCCGGCGTTCCTATGCTGTAAAGTACTGCACGGGGTGGGGATGACGACACTCCTTAGACACAGAAGCAAAGTGAGCACTGTGTGTGCACCTGGAGAGGAGGAGACGGGAAGCAGAGCTCTGCCCTGAACTCCAAGTCCAGGCTCTAAAATGAGCCATAAAAATGCCATCTAACTGACGAAGGTCTGGGGCCCGTGACCAGCCTGGAAAAGCATCATATCCACCCTGCCAATATTTATGTCTTTGGCTTGCTTCTAGCCAAAGTCCACACCAGGCATGATCCTACTGCCTGCAGGGCTTTACCACTGGTGTCCCTGTACAGAGGGGCTGTGGCTGGACGAGACGTGCCCAGAGGGGCAGCTATGGATGCTGCCTATCATCACGAAATGTAGGGCCAGCTTGGAAAGGGCAGACTCTAGATGTGGGCATCTGACGTTTGTAAGGTCAAGAGTCAGATTCTGGGTCAGAAAGTAAGATTACAGGACTTTGAGGTGGAACTGGATTCTTTCTTCTCCTCACCTACCCCCAGTGTATCCTCTCATCTTATTATCAGCCTGAACTATTCCAGTGATTTAAAGCATTCTAGGGACTTCCCTGGTGGTCCAGTGGCTAAGCCTCTGTGCTCCCAATGCAGGGGGCCCGGGTTCAATCCCTGGTCAGGGAACTAGATCCCATATGCCACAACTAAGAGTTTGCATGCCACAACAAAGATTCCCACGTGCAGCAATGAAGATCCAGCAGAGTCAAACAAATCAATAAATGTTTTTAAAAAGGCATTCGGTCAGGGAATCCCATATGCCACAACTAAGAGTTTGCATGCCACAACAAAGATTCCCACGTGCAGCAATGAAGATCCAGCAGAGTCAAACAAATCAATAAATGTTTTTAAAAAGGCATTCTAGGCATTGTCACATGACCTCTTCTGACCTTTACAACCACCCACATGTCAGGTGTTGGTGTCAATGTCCTCAGATGAGAAAACCGAGGCTCAGAGGACTGGCCTGACTTTTCAGAAGCCCTTGGGATTCCAAATGGTGTAGCTCATCTCCCAGACCAGAGCCCTTTTCGCTATGGAAACACTGACTCATCACCTGCTCAAAGCAGCCGAGCAAATCCACACCCTCAGGACCCTTCTCAGGCAAGATACACTGAGCACCCTACGAACATAAGGGAGAGTGGCAGGTCCCAGAGCTTGGGTGGCCTGGGGGATGGCTATCAGGTGGGTTTTGAGTCTCATTTACTTTCAGTTTTCCCAAAATGAAAGCATTCCAGCAAAACAAATATTGAGATGGGTCAGGTCTTACTGGTCTGAGAGAACTGCCTTGTTTCCACTCATTTTATCCCGGGGGAGGCTAGGTGGTTTCAAAGCTTGAGTCATGAGCCCCTGTTCACTCTCCCTCAGGTGGAATACATCAGGACTGCCGCGTCTTAGAAGTTGAGAAGTTGAGAAGTTCTGGGTACGTTCAGAAGCGGGTGGTGGTGGTGGGGGGGGGGAGTGTCACAGTGCTGGTGTTCAGGCATCAGTCGGCAGGCACAGCAGTGCTGAAGTTGTGTGGTGACAGACAGATCACTATGTAGTCCTGCATAGTCAAAGATTGGGTGAAACACAGAAGTAGAACACAATCCTATTTTTATATGACTTTTTGCAACCTCCCACTTCCTTAAATATCCTGACCTCATTCTGGCAGCCACAGCACTACACCAGCTGGCAAGTCGGCTTCTTTTAAGGCTGTGCTGCCATCTCCTGGGAAGGCCTGGCCATTGCAAGAACGTTCTCCTTAGGGATGAAGGAAGGGGCCTTTTTCAGGCAGCAAAAGCTTAGAGGTGGCACTTCCGGAGGCTGAGGTGTGGCTGTACCAGTCTCAGCTCGCCCAGGCCTGGTACATCCATGTTCTGATGCTACTACTGCTTGCACGATTTTTCAGGGAAGATTTTTAAAACCAGCTCTGAGAAACAGGTTTTTTGTTTGTTGCAGTCCAATAATTATGTCATTACTAATGATCTTCATTAGCTGCTGTCAGACTTGAGGCAGAACTGATGAAACATTTTGGTAACTTCAGCCTTGACTGATCCACACTTTCCTCTGGCCTGCTTGCCTCTGGAGTTTGCTGTGTGGGAATGAATACTGCCTGGAGTTGAAGAGGGATTTAAGGTGCACACTGAGTATATACTGGTCCCAAGGGCAGTGACCCCACCAACGGAGGCCAGTCCTCAGCACAAGGGCCACATTTTCTCTCTGCTATGCTCCAGCCTTGGCTTTACTGTTAGGAAACAAAGTTAGCTGTCATCCCTGTTGTCACTCCCAAGCTCTCTTCTGTATTTGGTTTATTTCTCCTTAGCATTTATCACCACCTGACATACGACTGTATGTATTTCACTTGTTCATTTTCAATTTTGTTTCCTTTCACTATATGGAAGCTCCACAGAGGCAGGTATTTTTGTCTTTGTTCAGTGGGATCCTCAGTGTTTAGAAGGAGGCCTGGCACTTAGTAGGTTAGGTATCTGTGGAATAAGTGAGTCCTGGCTTTATCACCTTATACGGTTATGGCTCCACACTTCTCAACCGCAGAGTCTGATGCATTTAATGCTTCTGCCTCAGCTTTCCGGGAGGACTTTCTGCAGAGAGCTGAGGGCCCAGGCTGCTGACCAGGGAAGGGGAGGCTGACTCGGGCAGGTCCTGACCCTGCGCCTAGCCTGGTCCATCTCATCTAATCACAAGCAGAGCCGCTTGGAGAGACTTCAAAGGTAGGAACTGGGAGGAACCGAACTGAGGGCTTAACACAAACCTGGGAGGCGCCAAAAAGCCTGAGTGAAGCACAGAATATAATAATAAATGTCACTTATGTGTCTGTGTACAACCACTTAATAATTACTATCGCAGCCGTAACGTATGGAATACTTACTCTGTCCCAGTGCTTTACTGCAAACTGCATTACACACTGTACGGCTGTTTTTCACGAGCTCTCTACTTGGCCTGAGGCATGGAGTCTCAGTGTGGACTGACCGGGAGCTGGGCGGCAGCCCGGCGGGAGGCGCCACACAGACGCCCTTTCCCGCCCGCTGCCCGAGCTGCGTCCCCACCGCAGGTACCGGAGAACCACGCCTCCGCCCGCACCCCGTTGGGCCTCACCTCCAATAGCCCGCGGCTTCCGTCGCCGGGCTTCCTCCAGCTTCCACGACTTCCGGGACGCGGCATGCCGGGGCTTGTAGTCCGAAGTTCCCAGCTGCGCCGGGAGGGCGGCCGCTTCAGGAGCCGGACTACAACTCCCAGAGTGCCCTCGCGCCGTCGAGCCCCGAGCGTCGGCGGGGGCAGCGGGGGCTGCGCGCGCAGCGATGTCGGTGCCCGCGTTCCCGCGCCAGTGCTGGAGGCCCTGCAGCTACAGAGGCCAGGGAGCGGCCCTCCCTGGGCCGAGGGTCCCAGTCCTTGTCGTGGGGCCGGGTGTCCAAGGACGCATTGCTCCGCAAATCCGAGGGCGCCAGGCTGTCCCCCGCCGGAACCGCAGGAGAGCCCAGCCGCGCCCCCCTTTCCTTCTCGGGGTGCGGCCTCGGGGAGGCTTGTGGGCCAGGCTGTGAGTACTCTCCCTCCTCCCGAGGCCGCACCGGGCACCCCGCAGCCCGCAGAGGGCGGCGGCCTGGCGCCCGCCTATGAGGAGTGACCCAGCGACTTCCGCAGCCCCCCTGAGGGGGCTCGGGGGGCCCCTGCGGAGCAGCGAGCCTGTGCGCGGCGCTCCGGCGCCGTCGGCGGCCGCGCTTCTGCTGGAGGAGGCGGCCGACCTGCTGGTGGTGCACCTGGACTTCCACGCGGCGCTGCGCACCTGCGAACGCGCCTGGCGGGGCCTGGCGGAGGAGCCGGTGGGCGCGTAAGTGCTGGGCTCGGTTAGCCTCCGGGGGCGGTGGGAGGGGCTCCAGACCCCAGGCCTCCTGCCGTCCGGTCGCTCACGCCAGCATAATGCCTTCTTTTCTCGCGGTGACTCTCCGGAGGCAGCGGCTCACCTTGCGCGGGTTCTCCGAGGAGAGAACGAGGCGCTGCCCAGTGAGGAGGAAGCGGTCGAGTAGTGTAACGGGCTTAGGGGGACCCACAGCCAGTTCTTTCTCCCTGTTCCAGGGTAGAATGCCTGACGGGAAGATAGAATTGAGTTGTTAATCAGTAAGCAGGTGGCGAAGTCCTCTCCTGGGCGCACCCCTCCCCCGAGGGCTCTCACCTTGGCTGGTAAATGGGTGTGTTCTGGTCCTGTTGAAGGATCGTATCAAAGAATCCTGCCTTGCGCTTTCTGATGCTGCTAGCCTCTCCGGTAGCTGAGGACATCATTTCTCCGTGGGTTGGAGAGTTGGATTAGGCCGCAGTAGGGAGCGGGTAGAGTCCCCAGAGAAGGATGGACGAGCTGGGGAGCCCTGGCAGTGTGTTGAGGGGTCGGTGAAGACTTGTTGCAGTAAATGTTGAAGGCTGTGATTCTGGGTGCTACCCTCAGGCGGAGACCTTGCTCCTGCGCCTTTCTTCACTAAGCAAACCCTTAGCTCCAGCTGTCTTTCCACCCACACATTTGTGCTGCCCTTTGACTTTTTCCCCTCGGGAGTAAATGAACCCTTCCTGTTTGCTAACCCTGAATTTACCTGGATACAGGGATGTCTGTTGGGCGGCAGCCGATTTGCCTCTAGGTTTACAGGAACTTTTAGCTCCTGGGAAGAGGGCAGTTTTCTCTTGTGTTGGGGCCCACGAGAGTGACGGTAATTGTGAGGCCCACTGGAATGTCAGTGGCGAGGATGGAGGTGATGGCTGCTGAGCTGGGAGCTGGTGAAGAACAGCCTCAGGGTGGAGGTGGGAACGGCGATGCAGGGGAACCACTTCTGGACTTGAATTGGCTTTTCTGCGGACAGCTGCTTGGAGGTGAAGTGCTCTCTGTGTGTTGTGGGGATCCAGGCGCTGGCAGAGATGGATCGGTGGCAGGAAGTGCTGTCCTGGGTTCTTCGGTGTTACCAGGTTCCTGAGAAGCTGCCCCCCAAAGTCCTGGAGCTGTGGTAGGTCCTTAGGTCCTTACTGCTTCCCCACTGGGTCGGTGCAGGAGCAAGAGGCTTTTCCTGTTCTCTGCCAATGCAGCCCTGATAGCTCCTCTTTTCCCTTGCATACCATTTCCCTTCAGATCTGATTCTTTCCCTGTCCCGCCGCCCCCGACTTCAAAACATAGTGATCAAAGATGTGGAAGGAGGAATTTAGGAAGGGGGTAGGGAAAAGAAGAAGGAATAGGAGACGAGCAGTGGGGTGACAGAAGTGGGGTGTGTCAGAGCTGAGAGAGCTTCTTGCTTCTCCTAAGAACTCCTGGTTCTTAGCGTGTCAGCATCCCGTAGGGAAGGGCTGCAGGGCCGGGGGCCGGGCTGGGTAGGAGGAGTGTGGTGGTTATGAGAAGTTAACAAACTGCGAAGAACTGACTGCTCTTTTTTCGGGGTTGGATTATTTGGGGCTGCAGTGTTCTTTTATACAGCAAGATGCGAGAGCCTGGAGCTGTGCTGGATACGGTCAGTGCTTGGCTCCAAGACGCTGACAACCAGGGCCTTCCGGAGTACGGAGCCTTAGCAGAACTTCACCTGCAGCGGGTGCTGCTTCCTCTGGGCTGCTTGTCGGAGGCTGAAGAGCTGGTGGCGGGCTCTGCAGCCTTCAGTGAGGAGCAGCAGCTGGATGCACTTCAGGCCATTAGCACGGCGAGGCGACAGCAGAAACACGGACAGTCTGGCTCCGAGGAGACCCAGAAGCTGAACCAGGAAGGTGAGACGTTATTCTTCTTTTTGGCCTCTCTATAGTGGAGTAATGGGCTTTCTCCTGAACCTTGGAGCAGTTCTTTGTATGAGTACCTTCCGGATCACAGAACAAGAGACCTGTTGAGGTGCTTAGAAAGCCCAGCCCAGACCCTCGGAAGTTGGCAAGGGAAGGCGGGTGGCGCAGTCCTCAGGCAGAACCTTGGCTTTTGTCTCCTGACAGCCACCTTCTCCTTGGGGTCCTGTCGTTAGGTCTGCCTCCACGGTGCTGGCCTGGGTGGGATGTTACTCCTTTAAATGCTGGCCCAAATGCAGACCCTGCTGAGGTGTAGTTGGGGATAGCCAAAGGAGAACGAACAGCTGACATGGTAACTTGTTAGCTCGCCTTACGGCATTCAGTTTGGGCCCCTGCCCTGTCTCCTGTGTGCCTTCCCTTAGCAGACCTCTCGCTCAGGGTCTTCTTCAGGGATTGACGTCTGCCCCGTTTCAGGGCCAGCCAGCTTCTGCCCAGTAGAGTGCAGCTTTACAAACGGTGGGAACCGCTTCAGGACCCAACACCGTGTACCTGGCTAGCAGCTACAAGGGCGCCTACACGGGCAGGGATGCGGGAGGTGGACTTAAAGGTCCTCTACTCCGGACTCTTCCCCGGTCCCTGAAGCCTCTTCATCACCTTTTCCTCGAGCGATCGTCTAGTCTGTACATGAATACTTTCAAGGACAGTAAAGTCGCTGCCTCCTGACGCAGCTGGGGACAGTTCTTTAAGGAAGTTCTTCCTGAGGCTGAGTTTAACGTTTCCTTCTGGTAGTTTTTAACCCACCGATTCTTGCTTTTTTTGTTGGTAACACGTAGAATAGGCCTAATCCGTTTTACATGAAAGGCCCGTTAGGAGACTGAAGTCCTGTTTCCAAAGCGTTCTTCTTTGTGTGCTTTCTTTGTGAGCATGGACCTGCTGAGTTAGGATCACTTCTTTGCAAACAGGTTGTTGACTTCAGGGACTGCACGTGGCTCCCCAGACCCCCTGCCTGTCCACTGCCTGGGAAGGGGGAGTTCAGGGTGTTCTGTCAGCGCTGGGAGGTTGCGTTCACGTTTGTACTCACGGGTTCCAAGACTGGAATTCTTCACTGTACCTATTAGGTGCCCTTTATTTTCTGCATTCATTGATCATCAGGAACTATTGCTCTGTGTAACTCTGTGCATACCTCTTAGGTCAAAATGCTGTAAAGTAGTCAGGCTATTAAAGAAGCACCAGATGTGCCAGGTTTCCCCAGCTGAGTAGACGTTTCTGTCAAAGTCCTCTCGTAAGGAGATGGTATTCTGGTGATTTAGTCTGTCCTTAAAGCATCTTTGGAGCTTTTGGAACTTCCTTTAGAACCACTTTATGAACTGCATGAGAAAACCAGTCTTGTTACCCTTTTGCTTGACTTTCATAGTCAAGCTCAAAGCTCAGAGTCAGGGAAGCTGGTTCTTACCCTGAAGTTATGCTCCATCTCCCCGGCCAGGCTCCTCCTCCTCCAAGTTCCTGTCACTACTGACGTTGCTTCGCCAGCTTTGGGACTCTGCAGTGAGGCACTTCTTTTCCCTGCCCTTCAGAAAGAGCCTCCTGGCTGCCTTGCTTCTCTGCCTCTTGGTGGTGAGGTTTGATCCCGGTGAGTGAAGACGCCTCCCGCCCTTCTGGGGACGGGGCGGTTGACAGGGGCTGGCCCTTGGGAGCCCTCCTGGGGGTGGAGGTTTTCCCTGGTCTCTTCTGCAAGGAGGAGTGGGTGGACCCAAGCAGGAGCCAGCCCTGGAGAAAGTCTACTCTGCCCTGTTGACCCTGGACGTCCAGGGGTGAACTCTGAGGAGAGCCTCAGAGTTAAAAAAGAAAAACTTCATCATAATGCGTAAAAACTTTATGTTAATTTAAAACATATTAAATTGTAGAAATACAATAGAAAAAAATATATAATATTTTAGAGAATATGGAAAATAGAGAAAAGTATAAATGAGAAAACAGAAATCACCCATAAGTCTGCTACTTTCTCTGGATATAGATGTAATTTTCCATGTCATTAAGTATTCTTTTTTGTTCCTTCTAGTTTTATTGAGTTATAATTGACATAGAGCACTGTATAAGTTTAAGGTGTATAGCATAATGATTTGACTCACATACATCATGAAATGATTGCCACAGTATGTCTAGTGAACCTTTATCATTTCATATAGATAAATAATTTAAAAATAGAAAAAAATTTTTTTCCTTGTGATGAGAACTCTTAGGACTTACTCTCTTACCTTCTGTATCTAACACACAGCAGTGTTAATTATATTTATCATGTTGTACATTACATTCCTAATACTTATTTATCTTATAACTGGAAGTACCTTCTTCCAGTTGCCCATCCCCCTACAAGTATTCTTTAAAACATGGCTTTAGGGACTTCCCTGGTGGTCCAGTGGTTAGGACTCCGCGCTTTCACTGCCGAGGGCCCGGTTTGGATCCCTGGTCAGGGAACTAAGATACCGAAGCGCAGCCAAAAAAAAAAAAAAATGTGTTTAAAGCTTTACCTGGCTAAATAATATTTCAAATTATAGGAACTTCCATAATTGATTTTACAATGCCCTATCGTTGAACATTTTGATGATTTCTTACTCCGTTTTCTGCTGTGCTCTTTGCTGAGGGTAATTCCTCAGACCTATAAGCACTGGGCCAACGGTTAGGTGCTCACTCGTGGACTTTTCTGTGTCTTGCTCTGTGTGAGTTATGACCTAATCTCATGAATTTAGATTTAGGATTATGTAACTTTCAAAACTGAAAGGAAAACTGGAAACCCTTGTTTCAGTCCCTTCATTTTCTTTTTCTTTCGTTTTTGGTTGAGAAACCTCAGAACCAGAGAGAAAAGAGAAAAGAGAAAAGATGACTCCAGAGTCACACAAACGTGTATCTGTTGCTTTTGACTTAGCCTTAGATCTTGCCCGTGTCCCCCACTTCCCTTTTTCTCGTTCAGGAGCCGTTTCTGCACAGCTCAGGTTGTCCCTTTGACACCTTGGCTGAACCCTGAGCAGGAGTTCCCTCTGAACAGCTCTGTTAGCCCTCAGAGAAGCTGAGGAGAGTTTGTGTTCATTCCTGTCCACCATCTGACCTTTTACTTTGTTCCAGAGGCTTCGAAACTTTTTTGTGGTTCTTACGAGTCCTTCAGCCTCAGGACCCCTGGTCTCCTGAGCGGGTGCAGCCGGAGCCCATTTGAGCGTCTTCCGTCTTCCGTCAGGGAGCCCTGGCTGTGGTCCCGCCCTTAGGACAGTCCTGACTCAGTGCAGAGGTGGCGAGAGCCCAGGGCTGGGCTGCAGTTAGAACTCGGCAGAGAGGATGTAAAGAGGGTGGACTATAATAGCTTTCTTAAAAGTAACATTTTTTTTTTTTTTTTTTTGGGCCACACCTTGTGGCATGCGGGATCTTAGCTTCCCGCCCAGGGATTGAACCTGCGCCCCCTGCATTGGAAGAGTGGAGTCTTACCCACCAGACTGCTAGGGAAGTTCCAGTAACGTATTTCTTTTTAAGAAAGAAAAGAAAAAGCAATTAAAAATCAGTAATTCAAATAAGGAAAAACAAACAAACCAAAACAAACAGCCGACTCAGCTCTCATTCAAAAGAGGTGGATTTTACTTTTATTTTCAATATAATTAACTTACGATAAAAATAGGTAATACTGTCACTTGGCTCCAAATTTAAAAGATACAAAAAGGAATGTAGTGAAAAGTCTCTTCCCAAATTCCTCTCCCCAGAGGGAGCCACCGTTACCAGATTTTTGTGTATTAAAAAGTTAGATTAAAACATAATAAATTTGGATCTTTTTCTGAGCAAACTGAAGGTCACTGTAATCCAAGTGAAGAAAATACATCCCAGAGTCTATATCCTGGAGAAAGGGACATTCTTTCCTGTTGGAGGGGAGGAGGGGCACCAGCATGGGCCGCTCCCCAGGTGGGAGAGTTTGGGCGGGAAGGGGCCCCACTGACTCACCTCTCCCTGCAGCTTCTCCCGCTTCCCTGCCCTTCCTCCACAAGCTGGCTCAGATCTTCCATCGGATCCGCAAGGCCGTGGCTTCTCCTCTCTGCCGGCCTCCCGTCCACGACTGAGTGGTCTTCCTGCTCACCTTGACCCCCTGGTCCCCAAGGCTGCCGGACAAGCAGAGCCAGTCGTCCACGGCAGCCTGTGTCTTGCAGCTGGATGGGCCCTGCCAGTGCAGCCAGCCTAATTCTAGGAGGAGCTGACCTGGCCCAGGCACTGTGTCTTGCTGCCTGAATGCCCTCCCCTTTGCGCCCCACTTTGGCCAGCTTGGCAGGTGGTGTGGAAACAAGATGCACAGCCCTGCAGAGGCCCTTTGCACAGGAGGGGTTTGGGAAAGGAGAGTGCCTTGTCCTTGAAACATTTCATCTTCCTGCAAAGTCAGGGGTTTGATTTTTCAGGCCAGGGTGTTCATGAAGCTGGAAGTTCAGAACAAGGTGCTGGTGGAGGGACCTTGGCCTTTCACTTGCTTGGAACACTTACCTCTGAAGGTCGCCCCCAGTGCAGGCCCTCCCCGGGGAGGGTGAGGGCTCCACAGTCTGGTCTGGTTTATCACTACCCCTCCCCGAGGTGTGCAGTGGGCCCACTCTCTGCTCAGACCAGGCATGGCTTCCTGAGCCCCTGGTGCACTTCTCACTGGGTAAGGGGATCTGGCCTGGTGCCTCCTGGGCTTCAGCTCAGTTTTCCAGGTTGTCAGTGGCCAAGCGGGGCTCTGTTACACCGGTGTCTCTGCCCACTCTCCCTCCTGTCAACTCCTCCCCCTGCCGTGCGGTAGTTGCGCTTTGCCTGGTGGTTGTCTCACCAGGTTCTGCCTGCATCCTTGCCTCCTTGGTACACGCCTTTGCTGGTTCCCCCCTTCCTATGCCCTGTTATTCTAGTCATATTCTACCGCTTGTATAACACACAAGTGTTTCTGCTTCTGTGACCATGAAAAGTAGGCCAGCCTCAAAGGCTGATGAGCTGAAAATGGAGCGGGGTAGTCAGGTGAGCTGGAAGCATGTGTGGAGGGGGTTGGGTGGAGGGAGGCTCTGAAGGCAGCGAACGATTTTATTCCTGTGCGGGGAGGAGACACTGGGGCCTTAGCAGTTGAACAGCTGAAATGTTTCAGTGCTTCCTGTCAGTGGCCACAGGAATCCTACCTGTTTCCGTGTGAGGACATGCCGTTGGGTGGTGGAAGGCCTGGGAGGTTAGTCCTAGGGTTGGTCTGTGAAGCTAAGAGTTAAGAGCCCTGCGGAGAGGAAGGGAGGCGTCTGAGCTTTGCTCTCTATCCTTCAGGATGATTTTTAAAATCTGGTCCTGTTCACACCCTGGGTAAAACTCTTCAGTGGCTTCCCCTGGCCCAAGGGTAAAGCACAGGTTCTTGCGGAATGTAGGCCCTTGGGCACTGGTTTTGGCGGACACCCCTACTTCATGTGGGGCCTCTGATCCAGCCCAGCCCCCCACAGTCTTAGTTTTCTGAGCACTGCACCCCTCACACCTCTGTGCCTTTTGCACCTGCTGAGCCCTCTGGAGGCCCAGCTCCCCTTTTGCCTGGTGAGCCCTTTCAAACTTCCAGACTTACCCAAGGGTTGCCTCTGTGCATCCTTTCCTGGTGTCCCCTGCTCCAGGCCCCCGTTTCGTGTGCTTTCTGTGTGGTGACCCCACGGCCTTGTGATTGTGGGGTTCTGTGGCCTCTCTGAAGCTGGGGAGTGTGGCTCTTCGCAGTGCTGAATTGAGGGTAGATCCCTGCCCTCCCACTCGCTGGGTGTGTGACTGTTGGAAAGTGACTTAACCGCATGTGTAAGTTGGTTCTTCCCTCACAGGGACTTGGGTGAGTAAATGAGCCTCTGTTGCGGTGTTAGCACATCTCCTGCTCCGGGTAAGAGCTCCCATGAGAGGTAGCTGTGTTCCCATTGCCTGGCTGAAGGCCGGGGGTTAGAAGGTGTTCAGAGGCATTTAAAAGAATAAGCGGATGTAACTGACATGACGGGAGGCCTCTGCCACAGGTGCGTGTGTGGGTTTGTGTTGTGGAAGCCCCAACTTTCCAGCCTCTTCTCTCACCCCGGAAGCCCCCATGTGGCCCTGCTCTAGGCCTTGAGGGTCTCTGCTTCTTGTCTGTCTTGAGCTCCGCAGCCTTGTTTGGCATCCAGCCCTCCTAGTCAGACAGGCACTCGGCCCTGCCGCTCGGGTGGCTCGGGCCGTTTCTGAGGGTGCAGCTGCTGCTCTGTCTGGTCCTCAGCTCTGGGCTTGACGAGGTCCGAAGCGAAAGGAGAGCCTCCTTGTCACACCAGCGCCTGTGGTGACCAGTGAGGTTGCCATGAGCTGCAGATGGCCTTTGAGCCCGTGAAGTGTGGCTGGTCCATATGGAGATGTTCTGTAAACGTAAAATACACGCTGATTTCAAACACATAGAACTACAAAGATGGAAACTCGATAATTTTTGTATTGATTGCATGTTAAAATGACAATCTTTTGGGTATATTGGGCTAAATAAAATCTATTACTGAAATGAATTTCACCTGTTTCTTTTCACTTTTTGGGGGGGCTCCCAGAATGTTTAATCTTGCATGGAGATTAAATGTTTCTGTGGGCTGGCACTCGCCAGCACCCAGCACACGTCCGGCCCAGAGAAGAGGCCCATATAGTGGGGTCTGCAGACATGAAATCTGGAAAGACCACCTCTTGTAGCCCCTTCTTTGTGAGTTAAGGAAATGGGGACCCCAGGGTGAAGTGAGCCCCCAGGTGACGGCCTGCATGAGACCAGGGTCTCCTATCCACCCAGCGTCCCCTTGCTGCACACGGTGCCCTCACGTGCCCGGGGATCAGCCGCTGAAGCTCGCTGTCAGCATGCAGCTGTGTCTGGAAGGTACCGCGGCCCGAGCGATTGGGCTGGTCCTGCAGGTTCTGAGAGGATACGACGTGGGTTCTGTGGCAGAGGGGCCGCTGGGGAGGTGGGGTGAGGTGACGAGGGCTTGGTCTGCGGTGGGCGGTCACCAGTGGGGGTGGGGAGCAGCGGAGGGGAGGACGCAGGGTTCTGCTTCTAGAAGGGGGTTCTGAGGGGCCGAGGGCGTATTTCGTGGCTTTGTGCAGGTGACGCTGTGGGTGTGTTTGCACATGTGTGTGTCTAGACTGTTTAAAAACTATTTGAGGTTTACGTGTATAGTACAGAATTCAGAAGTCACAAAAGGGTGTTTGTGAAAAAGAGTGTCTTTCCTTCCCCGGCCACCTGCCCCAACCTACCACCGCTGCCATCCGTATCCTCCCACAGCTAACCTCTGAAACGAAGCTTCTCTTCCTCTCTGCAGAGGATGGCATCCTACACACACGTACCGCAGTTTTTTTAAAACTTAATTAATCTTGGATGGTTTGTTCCGTATCAGCTGATGTAGAGCTGCCTTATTCTAATGAGCGCTCTGTATTCCATTGTATGATAGGCTCCCAGTGTAAAGCCCGTACCCTTTCCCCTGAATGCAAGGAAGCCTCTCCACCCTCTCCTAAACCCAAGTCTGAGATTAGCAGGTGGGGGTCACACCTCTGCTGTCTGCCTGCTAACTGCTTCAGCCACAGGGGAGCTGAGAGCCGGCCTCTCACACTCCGGACACTCCACTTCTAAACCTGGGCTCTTTTGGTTCCACTATTCCCCAGCTCCTCCTTTTCAAGCACCTCTTTGAAACTTTTCACATCCCCTTGTCACTTTTTCTACCATCTGAGATGGGGACTGACAGGCATCAGGTAATATTTGGAGACTTGGTTGAAAAATGAAAGGATTTTTGCGGAAGTATGTCAGCATAGAGAAGAGTCACTTTAACAGTAGCACCAGCGTTATGGATGTGGAGAGGTTGCTTAGGCAGAAAACCAAAGTGTAAGGTCCTTAGAAGGTAACCAGCAGCCTCACCCGCAGAGCTGCATTAAGTTCCAGAGAAAAGCACTGATGCTTTTATGTTAAGAGGCTTGTTTTCCAGATGGAACAGAGTGTAGTCCCTTCCTTGGCTCCTTGCTGCCTCTGAGGGCTCCGACTCTGCCCTTGGCCTTCGTGCTTGGAGGGAGCACACCCTCAGGGCTCTGCCGGCAGCTCTGCTCTGTCTGGTCTCCACCCCCATCTCTGACCTCACAGGCTATTTGTTTTTTATTTTTTCTTCTAGAGTTTCTTTGTGTATAAATTTTTTAAAGTTTGGATATCGGTCCCATTTTCTCCTGTTTTTAAATAAAAATATTATACACACTGTTTTATTCCTTTTTATTTTTCAAAGAAGTGGCATGATTTTGAGGAATACAAAGGAATATAGGTTATTATAATGTGTACTTTTGCTGGTTTGGGTTCTAGCTCTGCTGCTGAATTGCTCTATAACTTTGCAAAAAGCACTTAATCTTTTTTTTTTTTTTTTTTTGCCACACCCTGCTACTTGCCCAGTTTGGGCCCCAGCCATGTGCAGCCCAAATCCATCTGAAAACCTCATAAATACTTAGTCAAAAGTCTGTCATAGGGCTTCCCTGGTGGCACAGTGGTTGAGAGTCCGCCTGCCGATGCAGGGGACACGCGTTCGTGCCCCCGTCCGGGAAGGTCCCACATGCCGCGAAGCAGCCAGTCCTGTGAGCTATGGCCGCTGAGCCTGCATGTCTGGAGCCTGTGCTCCGCAACGGGAGAGGCCACAACAGTGAGACGCGTGTGTATCGCAAAAAAAAAAAAAAAAAAAAAAAAAAAAAGTCTAAAATATTTGAAATAGGTACATGAAATAGGTTACATAGACACTGACTTTCCATATGGGCACATTTAGTTGGATTAAGGAAGACTAATGGCCCACTAGGGATCTGTGTCTAGTTACACAGGCAAATGCAAATCTCCTCTGTTTAAAATAATCAGGACTAGGCTAGGAAATGACACGCCCTCTGCCTCTCCTTTACTTTGGGCCTGTGGGAGGAGGAGGGTGGGGCTGGAGAGTGGGGGGGTGATGGGCTCTGTGAGAGAATATTTGGTAAAGACAAAGGCTGTGGGTTGTGGTCTGAGGGGGTGACTGTCTCAGGCGGGGAGAGTTCATGACAGGGAAGCAGGTGCAGGTGGGCACTCGAATTTTAGAGATGGATCTGTGAGCCG